TGGCAGATGTTACAAGTATATGGAATAGGTGGTAAGTTACTAAATGCTGGAAAGAGTTTTTATGAGGATAGTGAGGCTCAGGTTAGGGTGTGTAGAAGAGAGGGAGATTACTTCCTGTTAAAAGTAGGTCTTAGACATGGATGTGTAATGTCACCATGGTTGTTTAATATATTTATAGATGTGGATGTAAATGAAGTAAATGCTAGGGTGTTGGGGAGAGGGGTACCTTACCCCTGATATATCTTTGAAGAGTTTCGAGAGTTTATCTACTCTCTGAGCCCGGCCATGGACCAGGCTCGTCTGGTGCTTGCCTGGTCAACCAGGCTGTTGCTGCTGGAGGCCCGCTGCCCCACATATCCATCACAGCCTGGTTGATCTGGCACCTGGTGAAGATACTTGTCCAGTTTCCTCTTGAAGGCTTCTACACTGGTTCCAGCCGTGTTTCTGATATCTTCTAGTAAGATGTTTAATAGTCTGGGACCCCAGATGTTGATACAGTGTTTCCTTTTTGTCCCCACTGCACCCCTGCTCTTCACTGGGTTTATTTTACACTTCCTCACATATCTCTCACTCTAGTATGTTGTTACGGCAGTGTGCAGATTTGGGACCAAGCCCTCGAGTACCTTCCAGGTATATATTATCATGTACCTCTCTCTTCTCCGCTCCAGTGAATACATGTTGAAGACTTACAGGCGTTCCCAGTAGTTTAGGTTCTTTACAGGCTCAGTGTGAGCCATAAACGATCTCTGTATTTGCTCCAGCTCAGATATTTCTCCTGCCTTGAACGGGGCCGTCAGCACTGAGCAATATTCTAAGTGAGGGAGCACTAGTGATTTGAAGAGTGTCACCATCAGCATTATTTCCCTTGTTTTGAAAGTTCTCAATACTCACCCAGTCATCTTCCTGGCTGTCGTGATCTTTGTCTTGTTATGGTCTTTAAAAGGAAGGTCCTCTGACATAATTATTCCTAGGTCTTTTATGTGTTCCTTACGTTCTATTTGGTGACCCTCTTGAGTTTTGTATATAGTGTTCCTTTTAAGTTCTTCATTTTTTCCATATTTAAGCAGCTGGAACTTATTACCATTGAATGTCATGTTGTTCTCCACTGCTCACTGGAAAACCCTGTTTATGTCTTCCTGTACTTTTTCAGTGTCCTCTACCGTACTGACTTTCATGCTTATTTTAGTGTCATCTACAAATGATGATACAAAAGTGTGCCAGGTGTTTTTGTCTATGTCTGCTATGAGGATGAGAAACAGCAGAGGTGCCAGGACAGTGCCTTGGGGCACTGAGCTTTTGACCTCACTGATGCTGGATCTTGCCCTGTTCACTACTACTTTTGTGTTGTGTGTTAGGAAACTGAAAATCCATCTTCCTGCCTTCCCATGATGCCCATGGCCTTCATTTTGTGCGCTATCACTCCATGATCACATTTGTCAAACGCCTTTGCAAAATCTGTGTAAATCACGTATGCATTTTGGTCGTTTTCCAATGCCTCCGTAATTCTGTCATAATGGTTCAGCAGCTGTGACAGACATGATCATCCTGCTCTAAAACCATGCTGGTTCGGGTTATGTTGGTTGTGCTGGTCCATGAAATTTGTAATCTGCCGTTTCATCACTCTTTTGAAGATTTTTATGATGTGAGAGGTTAGGGCTACTGGTCTGTAATTTTTAGCTAGTGCTCTACTACCTCCCTTATGCAAAGGAGCTATGTCTGCACTCTTTAAGGCCTCCGGTATTTCACCTAGATCTAAGCTCTTTCTCCAAAGAATACTGAGGGCTCGTGCTAGTGGTACTTTGCACTTCTTTGTAAATAGAACATTCCATGAATCTGGTCCAGGTGCTGAGTGAGTGGGCATGTTTTCCATTTCCTTTTCGAAATCTATGGGATTTGTACTAATGTCAGTTAGTTGGTCTGCGTGGCCTTCTTCTAGAGTGAAAAATATTTCTGCATTTTCTACCTTGTTGTCATTTAGTGGGTTTCTGAACACCGACTCATACAGTTCTTTTAGGATTTCACTCATTTCCTGTTCCTCGTCAGTATATGAGTCTCCTCTCAGTAGTGGTCCAATTCTACAGGTAGTTCTTAGCTTGGATTTTGCGTAGGAATAGAAATATTTTGGGTTTCTTGCAATATCCTGTATGGCCCTTTGTTCCCTTTGTACTTCTTCTGTGAGGTATGACATCCTAAGTTTTTGCTCTAATTCGATGATCTCTGCTAAGTCAGTCTTTTCTCTGTTGTAGCATATTTGTGTTTTTAAGCAGTTCAGTAACCTGTTTTCTTCTTCTGTACCATCTCCTACGCTCTTTCCCTATATCTGATCTTCTTCTGGGTTTCCTCAGTGGTACATGTTTCATACATACTTTGTATGCTTCTGCATTCAGCTTCTCTAGGCACTGGTGGGGATTTAGGGTGCTCATGTCCGATGTCCAGGGTATGTCTGATAGCTACTAACATATAAAAAAAAAAAAAAGAGAAAAAAGAAAAAAACAGAAATGTATATCTTTTTTGGCACAAACAAGATGGTGATCTTGAGGTGTTTAACAAGAATATAAAATATGAGGTAGTGACTGGAAAACTTAGAATCACTGCTGTCAGATTGACAATATGAAAATGAGAATTAGGTTTTACAGGAAAAAATTGGATGAAAAAAATTTTAGGGTCTCATAACACTGCACATGGAAGTGGGTACAAACTGCATATTTATTCTGACTCAGTTAGGCCAGCTTCACTAAGGAATTTTTTTTAGATCATGTGCAGTAGAACTGAAGTATCTCTTGCCTGTTGATTCCTTCTTGACTGCAATTTTGCCATCCCTTGCAAGGCACTGGTAAATTTTTTGATCATATCGTAGCTTTCTTAGTCTGTAAAAGAGATTTTGTCTTAATTTTGTCAGGCACTCGTTGACATAAACACTTGTTTTCATATTAATAGATGTTCTTAACAGTTCACTTCGTTGTGAGCTAGAGTTGAACTTTAGTACCACTGATTTCTTCCCAGTTTGATGACCTATCACTTTACATTCCTTTACTTCATCATTAGATATTACGAGTCGAAGTTGGTCTTGGATAAGTTTTAAGGTGGTTTGTTTGCATGTTTCTTGGGTTACAGTTGTAGGAAGAAGGTTGCTATTTACCACGACTGAGTCACATAGTTGTTGTTGTTCAAAGTGGTCTTGGAAATTGTTCATAACGTTGGTAAGTTGAAGGTCCACTCTTTCTCTTTCATTCTTGATGTTGGTGTTTAGTTGGGTTACCTGATTTTTTAGACTGTTGATGGTATCCACAGACTGGGTATGGGTGCTGCTTAGATGTTCCAGTGTGCTCAGTTTATGTTCAAGAGTTGTGATCTTGTCGACGTAGTGTGTGTTACAGGTTTGTAATTCCTTAACTTCTTGGGTTAATGTGTCATTGGAGGTTTTAAGTTCTTGCATTTCCTGGGTTAGCTTGATGATTGTTTGGTTCTGGATCCTAAGAAGTTTTGCTATTTCTGGGTCCGTTATGTTCGTATCATCACATCCAAGGAAGGAGTTATCTCGGGCATTCGTAGAGGCAGCCATGTTTGTTGTTGTTGTTGTCTGGCAAGTGTTGTGGGTGCTAAAGATTATGTCCTGGCTGGCAGTAGAAGTTTTCCTTATGGTAATGCTTCTCTCACCTGGGTCTTGTTTTGTTGCCCTGACCCCTGGCCATTGACAGTGTTTCAGATGAATTGTAGATAATAGGTGAGTGTTGTGGAGTTTCACTACGTCTGGCAGTGGGGCAGGTGGTGGAAACACGAGTCTTTTATATTGGTAATATTGCTTAATTTTGGGTGATTTCTGCAGTTGATCTACATCATTCTGGGTCTCCACATATGTCAGTGTTATGTGGGTGTTTACTAGACCATCACAGGGTTGTTGGGAACCACAGTGAAACTAAAATAGATGAGCAAGGACCTTGCTGCTGCCGCTGCCAACCGCTGGCTACAGCGGAACGGATTAATTACGAAAACTGGGAGCCACTGTACAAGCAAATTGAGTTACGAGCTCAGTCACGGAACTAATTAAACTTGTAAGTTAAGGTACCACTGTATTTGGGAGTGAACATGTCAGCAGAAGGGTCTCTGAAAGGCAAGGTAATTTGATGAAAAAAAGGTAGGTGGTGCATAGAGGCATCTGTGGACAAAAAGAACATTTTCCATGGAGGCAAAAGGGGGAATGTGAGAGTATAGTGGTACCAATACACTTATATGTGTATGAAGCATGAGTTGTAAATGTTGCAGTGAGGTGGTTAGAGGCAGTGGAGATGTCATGTCTGAGGGCAATGTGTAAATATTATGCAGAGAATTCATAGCTTTGAGATTAGAAGGTGCATGGTTACTGAAAGTATTTTCCACAGGGTTAAGGTGGGTTGGACATTGAAAGCGGATGGAGCAAAAATAGGATGACTTGGAGGGGTGTATAAATCTGAAGTGGAAGGAAGGTGGGGGTAGGGGTCACCCTGGAAAAGGTTGGGGAAGGAGGTAAATGAGGATTTGTGTGCAGTGGCTTGGACATCCTACAGGCATGTTTGAGCATGTTAGATAGGAGTAGGTGCAAATGGTTTTTGGAACTTGACAAGCTGTTGGAGTGTATGCAAGGTAACATTTGTAAAGGGATTCAGGAAAACCAGTTAGCCAGACTTTAGTCCTGGAGGTAGGAAGTACAGTGCCTGCACTCTGAAGGAGGGATGAGGATTTTGCAGTTTGGAGGGGCATCTGAACTAGTATCAGCACACCTCTGGCAAGACAGTTATAGAGTGAATGAAAGTGAAAGTGTTTCTTCTTTTTCAGGTCACCCTACTTCAGTGAGAAATGACCGGTGTGATAACAAAATAATTTAAAAAACGTGCATGCATTCATGCAATTTTCTTATGTTCATTTACGAGTATTTTCTTTTAAAATATTTTTTATTCAGGTTTCATACTGTGTAAATAGTGGAACTGATGAGAACTATGTTTCTACATTTATTTTTTCCACAGATCATAGATGTCAATGACATACCAATGGTGTGCACCAAGCGTTTGCGACCAATAACTCAACAAGCTCCGAATGAGTCACGGCGTTTGTGGCTTGATGTGAGTGTGGCACTTGCCCGTGGAGATGTAGAGACAGCAACCAGCCACAAAAGAGCCTTGGAAGAGCAGCAGCGAAAAGATGAACGTGAACGTGCAGCTCGAAATGCAGCATTTCCTACTCAACTGTTTAACTCTCCTTCACCAGACCATTGGGTGTACAACCATTTCCCAGCATATGTATTTATTTCTTGTCCTAGTGCTACTCAGATTCAGTAGGGAATAATTCTGTAGTTATGTTTGATATTCTAATTGCATAAATATACACATGCCACACACAGCTATATATAAATTGTGAGAAGATACTGATAACATCAAAATGAGGGATCTAGGAGTGATCTTGAACACATGATTGGCACCAGAGGGTCATAGAGATAATAGAGTGAGAAACTCCTTTGTTTCATTAGCAAATTTTACAATAATCTAGTATGTAGATGGGAAAAGGCTAAAGAAGGTGTTGAAAATGTATGTTAGGCCACAGCTGGAATAAGCAGTTGTGGTTTTCTGTCCACACATAAATAATATGATGGAGAAAGTGCAAGGAAGAAACTATGAAAGGAAAATAGAAGAAATATAGTTGACTTTAAAATTATATATAAGGTTATAAAAGAATGCTAAAAATAAAGATGATTTCTGTAGCTCAAGTTTTGCCTTTCATCTTATGAGAGCAATATAAAGTGCAAGTTTTGTTATAAAAATTTTGATAAATTAAGCTGTGGCTGTGTTGTTGGGTTGAAGGGATTCATTGGCCCTAGGGTCATGTAAACTCAACTATTGTAGGTTTGAAACCACATACCAGTATTGTATGCTATTTCATTAAAACTGTTATGCTACTTATTCATATTTTATCATAATTATTAACATACTTCATTTAAAATTATCTGTGTAAATAAAAAGTGTAGCAGACAACAAAAATTATGGTATAATTATATTGTACTTCTCTGATCATGTTAAGTACCTGGGCATGTGTAGGTATTTCGTTCATAATTGTGGCCGGTGATCCATGCACTTGTGTATGGCTGGTGATTCTGTACTTTTGTGTAAGGCTGGAATTCTGAACAGTGGTGTAAAAGTTGGTGTACTTGTGTAAGCCTGGCAGTTCTGTACACTTGTATAAGGCTGGTTATATGTGCATTTAGGTAAAGCTGGTGATCTGTGCACTTGAGCATCATTTACCTTTTTGTAGTTACAGAAGCTGAGCTAATCTCACTGTATTCTTTCTTCAGTATTTAATCTATCATTTCTTTAAATTTCTAGTGACTAGCATTTTGTACCTCCTTTGTAATACTTGCATTACTCTACTTCTCTCAGAATTTTTTCTTGTATCATTTTGGCACCTCTTCCCTATTTCATAGCTATGGCCTTTTAATCTCATTGTTGAAGGTGTTTGAAAATCTTCATTAATGATACATATTTTCATATAGTCGGACTTGAGTCCTGGAAATGGGAAGTACAATGCCTGCACTTTAAAGGAGGGGTTTGGGATATTGGCAGTTTGGAGGGATATGTTGTGTATCTTTATATGTGTATGCTTCTAAACTGTTGTATTCTGAGCACCTCTGCAAAAACAGTGATAATGTGTGAGTGTGGTGAAAGTGTTGAATGATGATGAAAGTATTTTCTTTTTGGGGATTTTCTTTCTTTTTTGGGTCACCCTGCCTCGGTGGGAGACGACCGACTTGTTGAAAAAAAAAAAAACTTTCATTTTGTTATAAAAACCATGATGTGGTGTATCATGTCTTCTCTTTACTATCAGCCAAAAAAGGGCAAATCCAATGCTTTCAACCTTTATTTGTAACTTGTAATTTTTTTTTTTTTTGTACTGGAAGATATTTTTTAGCTCATCCTTAGACATTTTCCAGTTTGTCCACATGTTTTTTAGGTGTGTACATGATACCACTGTTACATATTCCAATTTTGACTAAAATATATTGTGAACTAATACAGTGGACCCTCGCCTAACGCTATTAATCCGTTCCTGAGAGCTCAACGTTAGGCGAAATTATCGTTAGGCGAATTAATTTTCCCCATAAGAAATAATGGAAATCAAATTAATCCGTGTGAGGGTGATTTTCATCAAAAAAGGTTTGCACTTTAAGCCACATTGCACACATTTCCTTAATCTTTGAAGTAGGCAACTTCTTCAATTTCTCTATCCCCTCCTCCGAAGTAGTTTCCTCAGGTGTGGCCTCATGCTGTTGAAGATGATCTAGCAGCTCATCAGTGGTTAGTTCTTCATTGTCCTCCCCCACCAACTCTTCCACATCCTCCCCACTAACCTCCAACCCCAAGGACTTCCCCAATGCCACAGTGGATTCCTCAACTGGCATAGGATTCCCAGGGTTAGCCTCAAACCCTTCAAAATCCCTTTTGTCTACACATTCTGGCCACAGTTTCTTCCAAGCAGAGTTCAAGGTCCTTTTAGTCACTTCCTCCCAAGCCTTACCTATAATGTTTACACAATTGAGGATGCTAAAGTGATCTCTCCAAAACTCTCTTAGAGTCATTTGAGTTAATGAGGTCACTACAAAGCACCTTTCAAACATAGCTTTTGTGTACAGTTTCTTGAAGTTGGAAATAACCTGCTGGTCCATGGGCTGCAGGAGAGGAGTGGTATTAGGAGGCAAAAACTTGACTTTAATGAAGCTCGTTTCCGCAGAAAGTCGCTCTGCCACATCTGAAGGATGACCAGGAGCATTGTCTAATACCAGGAAGCACTTAAGGTCTAATTTCTTTTCTTTCTTTCTTTCAACACACCGGCCGTATCCCACCGAGGCGGGGTGGCCCAAAAGGAAAAACGAAAGTTTCTCCTTTTACATTTAGTAATATATACAGAAGAGGTTACTAGCCCCTTGCTCCCGGCATTTTAGTCGCCTCTTACAACACGCATGGCTTACGGAAGAAGAATTCTGTTCCACTTCCCCATGGAGATAAGAGGAAATAAACAAGAATAAGAACTAGAAAGAAAATAGAAGAAAACCCAGAGGGGTGTGTATATATGTGCTTGTACATGTATGTGTAGTGTGACCTAAGTGTAAGTAGAAGTAGCAAGACGTACCTGAAATCTTGCATGTTCATGAGACAGAAAAAAGGACACCAGCAATCCTACCATCATGTAAAACAATAATTTCTTTTCAATTAGGTAATTTTTCACAGTGGGGGCAAATGCATGGTGTAACTAGTCATAGAAAAAGTCCCTAGTGACCCATGCCTTACTGTTTGCCTTCCACAGCACACACAAATTAGCCTTGAGGACATTGTTTTTCCTGAACACTCTGGGAGTTTCAGAGTGATACACCAATAAAGGCTTCACTTTGCAATCACCACTAGCATTGGCACACATCAATAGAGTAAGCCTGTCTTACATAGGCTTATGTCCTGGGAGTGCCTTTTCCTCCTGAGTAATGTATGTCCTGTTTGGCATTTTCTTCCATAACAGGCCTGTTTTGTCACAAACACTTGTTCAGGTTTCAGTCCTTCACTGTCTATGTACTCCTTGAATTCCTGCACATATTTTCAGCCGCTTTGTGGTTCGAACTGGCAGCCTCACCACCCTTATCACACAAATGTATGCCACAAACAATTTTTAAATCCCCAAAAAAACCAAACCCTTTTGGGCGGGCCCAAAAAATTTAACTCACTTCATCAAAGTTGGGGGGCCCTTTTTTTCTAATTAAATCGCCCATGAAACTTCCCTTTACCCCTTTTCACAAAAGTTTGTTGAGAGATGCTATTCCTGCTACTGTTTTTCGTTTATTCCACACCAATAAAAATCCCCACACCTTCTACATTTTTGGGGGATCTCTTTTTCGAAAACAAATTTGCACCTTTCAAAAACAGTTTTCCTTGTTTGGGGCCCTTTTTCCCCTTGGGCCCTTACAATAAGCGATGATTGATTGGGGTTTTGTTGTAAAACCCCTGGCCAGCTCGGCCCAACCACCCCACTTTCAAACTTAGCAAGGGATCTCTTTCTTCATATCCATATAATTCCCCTCTTTTTTTGCTGTAGGGGGGGGCACAAAGAAGCTTTTTTTGGGGCCCATGGTTTACTTAAATTTTTCAGGTGCAATCACTAAAAAGGCTGTGAAATATTAAATGTTTTCCGGGTTTTATGCTTGGAAGCGACCGCGGATGGCTGGGTTGTAAACACTGGCAAACCCCCTGAAAATGAGGGGGGCCCCAGGCCGCACCTGACACGCCTTTAAAGAACGCGTTGGGGGAAATTTTTTTAGGGCTATGGAGGCAAAATTTTTGCTTAAAATGTAAACGCTAGGTGGATTTAAAAAGTTATGCAATGCGTTCGTTAAAGGGGAGGTTTTCCCCTGTATTTTTGGACAAAACTATTTTCAATCTACACAATTTTTATTTCTTTTTTGATGCAAATAATGTAGTTTACAGAATAAAAACCCCTGTGGGCACAAAGCCACTAATTATTCAGGGGCATTTCGAGCAGACCCAAACATATTTTTGGTTAAAAATATAGTTATTTTTTCCCCCAAAAAACCCAAATTGATTTCCCGGGGGTGGGGAAATACAATGCCCGCACTCCCAAAGGGGTGGGTTGGGATACCGTTTTCTCTTTGGGGGACATCGAAAAGTTTTTCCTCTTCAAGGGGGGGCTCCTTGACAAATGAAGAGGCTCTTTTGGTCTCAGGAATCAAATCCTTTAGTCTCCTTCTTTAGACCAAGTCTGAGTAGCCCCCAATCCTCCCTTCCCTATCCCTTCCAACCCATACCCCCCCCTTTTTTTTTTCCCTTCCCTCCCCTCTCCCAACCCTCCCCTTTTTCCCCATCCCATTTGTAGCCTCTGGGGTCCTTCCCTCTGGCATTATGGTTTCTAGGTTGGGGGTGGCATGCTGGGGTTCGTCCCCCTCCATGAAGTCCCTCAGGTGGTGTAGTTTGCTGTGGAATCTCAATTGTCTGAGGGTGCCCTGCTCCCTTCCCAGATTTCCGGGTCGTGGGTGGGATGCCCTTTAGATGATGGGTGTATCTCTGGAAGCTGCCTGTCAGTTCTGGGGGGTAGCAGCCAAAGGAGGTATGCTTTGTGGCGGGTTTCCGACTGTCCTTTCTTTTGTCTGCCAAGGTAGCTCGGTGGATGTGAGGCTGCTATCCCAGAGTGCTGGTTTACTGGCGTGAAGGGTAGGGTTTGGCACAGGTTCCACACTGCATCTTCACGGCCAGTGGGCTCAAGGCCCTCTCAAATGAAGGGAGGAGCTTTCAGCCCCTCCATACCTCCTAGCAACTGTCCCTCTTTTTTTTTCTTTCCTTTCTTTATTTCTTAAAATAACAGGAAAGAAGATATTACAGAAGATGCACCTATTATTATGGAGTCTTCACCCTGTGAAACCCTTCCTCCTCCCAGGCCCCACTCTGATCTCACACCCTGTTCTGACCTGGCTTCGTTATCAGACCATTCTCTGGACTCTTCTCATACCCCAGTACCTTCTGCTGGTGACACCTTGTCACCTGCTTCAGGTGCTGCAGCATCATTCATTTCTGTTCATGCCACTGCTTCTAGCATGCCTTTCACAATGCATCTGGCTTCCCTGAGTACGGTGCGATGGTTCTCGGATCACCCACCTCCCTCTGATCAGACCGCCTGTGGTTCTACTCCTAAGTGTCCAAGACAACCTACTGATCACAGTTCGTCGATGACCACTCAAAAACGACCTACACGACACTCACTGCCTTTGCGTACCAGACTAACGAGTATGCAATGGACAAAATTCTTTTCTTTACAAACGACGTCTCAAACTGATTATCTTTCTGATCACGAAATTTGTAAAACTCTTTTACAGCACGTTGGCCAAAATATATCCTTCCACGCTCATCGAA